GGGAGGGGAGGGGAGGGGAGGGGAAGGGAGGGGAGGGAAGAGGTTCGGAGAGGTTCGGAGAGGAAAGGTTCGGAGAGGAGAGGTTCGGAGAGGTTCGGAGAGGACAGGTTTGGAGAGGAGAGGAGAGGACAGGTTTGGAGAGGTTCGGAGAGGTTCGGAGAGGAGAGGGCAACATTGGGCTCTTTGCTCCATGATTTCCTGTTACCACCCAGGTGAGGTCATCTCACCATGCAGTCTTGTCATAAGCTGCTCCAGTTCTCATGAGAGTGACTACTAAAACTGGGGGGGAAAGACTAAAGAAAGAAAACTGAAGTTCTTGTCAATCAAAGGAAGTGTTTTTTCAGGCACTGGTGTCCTCTGTTGGGATGTGTCAATGGAGGAAAACCAAAGTGCCAGAGTTGTGCTGTCAATTTGCAGTGATGGGAAATTCAAAGAAGTTTATATGCTGGGAAAATGACTCCAGTTTCCTCTGGATGAGGCACGTTAGCCCCGCATGTTTTCCGGCACAACAGAAACACTGCACTGCCTGCTGCAGGCTCACAGCATCCACCCCCAGCACCTCCCTTCACCACTGCTGCAGGTGCAGGTCCATGCTGGTGTTCAGGTTGAGGTCGGTAACATCCAGGAAATCGATGTTGAAGATGCTGGGACCCGCGGGGGTGAGTGACCCGAAGCCGGTGGCAGAGCTGGGGGGGGTGAGGTCCAGCCACTCCATTGTTTCCCATGGAGACTCAGTGAAACTCATTTGTAAACTGGAGCCTTCGGCAGGGGAAGGGGAGAGCTGGGTTTCCATGGGCGAGAGGGGAGTCTGTAAAATCTCCTGGGAGTTGAGCAGTTCATCTGCGGCTTTGCCAGAGAACCCCTCCATCATCCCCTCAAAGTGGGGCTCCTCTGTCCCCATCTTCAGCAGGGCCATGTCGCTGACCCTGCCCAGGGGGCTGTTCAGCAGCACCTCGAGGTGGGCGTCGCTGCTGCCCGGGCAGTGCTCAAAGGGCAGCGGCACGGGGGGGACCTGCTCGAAGGGGGCTGGGGGCTTGGGGAGAGAGGCACCAGTGCTCCCTGGAGACACCGTTATCTGAGGTACTTTCTGGAGGCAGGACCGATCTTCCTTGGCAGTGGCTGGCATTTCTGTCAACAGATGAGAGGGATTCGAGATGCCCTGGCAGTGCCCACCACTGCTGGGCACAGGGGCACCACCACAGTCCTCCACCTGGACTCTTGGGCTTCCCCCTGGAGACCTGCTCCCCACTCGATCCCCTTGGCACTGCTCACCCACCCCCTGCCATGGGGAACCTCGCACATTCCTGCTTTCTGACCTTGATCCCCTGGGTTTGGACACAGTCCCTAGGGCACGAGCACTGCCAGCTGTCCCCAAAGGGCTGGGATAGGGCACAGGGGAGGGCACCAGCAGTACTGTACATGGGAGATGGCACTGGCAGCACTGGGAATGGTGAGGGACACTGGGGGCTCAGTGTGGGGAGGGGGCTGGCAGCGCTGAGCACTGGCTGTTGCCCTGCTGCCCCTTCTCTCTGCACAGTCTGCACAGGTGACAGCCAAGCCCAGACCACCCCACCGGGATGGCACACACAGGAACAGGCTCTGGGAGGGCTAATATGCCTTTGGATTCAATCTCAGTGGCTGCTGGCACAGGAGGGCTGATGAAAGCTGTGTTCAACTCAGGCAGCTCTGCTGGGATGCACAGAACGCACTGAGGCTCAGGGACCAATGCTGGCTGGGAGGGGAAGCCCTGGAGGGGAACAGAGAAGCTGTGCATACCTCCACTCTCAATCAGCACGTCCAGGAGCTCATCCATCTGCTGACTTCGTGTCATCTGCTGCAGCAAACGACAAAGAGGAGAGTAGAGGGCATTAGGAGGAGAGTCCCTCCAGCCACAAGCCAGGTAGAAGGCTCTAGATCCCCAAAAAGTTGGGTCTGGTCCCCACAAATGGCTTCCTCCCATGCAGGAGAGAGGCCACATCAACATGAGGCTGTCAGTGGTGTTCAGGTGGGCACTGCAGGGACCTGGGACATCATGGTGGATTCAGGGACCAAGGCGCCCTGCTCTGCCACCAACCCTCTGCTCAGAGGACACCACAGCCTGCCCTGTCCCAGGGCCACCAAGACACACTGACATTTTGGCCCTGGCACCTCGCACTGCCACTGCCTGCACTCCCTGCATTGCCCAGGCATCTTCCTCTCCTGCCTGGAAACTGGCAGGACTTCCTGCACTCCAGCATGAGCCAATTCTCATCACTGCGACAGCATCTCTCTGCATTCCTAAAGCCACCATCATTCCTGGCACTGAGGCTGCTGCTAGATTCTCATGGAAGGGGTTCATGGGCAATGGACAGTCCTCCCATGGGAACAGCACCCCGGGATAAGGCTCAGGGGGCAGATGGCACAGAGCATTAACAACCCCTGTTGTTAATGGGCTAAGGAGTGAAGGTGAGCTTCCTGGTGACTGGGGAATGCTCAAGGGTCTATTCTTCACACAGCACTGAGCACCCCAAAGAGGAATACATCAGCACCCTGGATGTTTGAGGGGTGTCAGGGTGTGCACAGCAGACACTGTCTTGCCCAGTGTGGTCTCTGACTGCTTCATGGCAGCCAGTCAGCAGCTAACCCTTAAAAAAGCCCATGCCTCTGAAAACAGGCCTGTTCTACCCAGAGACCCCAGAAGAGGTTGGAACTCCTGTAGCTGAGTCCCACTATCTGCAGGACACCCTGGGCAGCCCCAGCCCTGTAGAAAACAAAAACCATGCGGTTACCTGCTTTACTGCATCCTCATAGGGTGGAGGCTGCTTTACCTCTGACAGGGCTGGGCTTGACTTACAAAAACTTGGGGATGGAATAGAAAACTTTTGACCTGCCTGCGCAGCCATCTGCTGGGGAAATACAGGGAAAGGGAGTCAGTGCACAGGGAGGCACAGAGGGAGGCCCAGCTCTCTCATCCCTGTTAAGGTCGGGCTGGGGCCAGGAAAAATAACTATTTTGTGGGTCAAACAAACAAAATGCCTGGCCTTCCAGCAGGGTAGAGGCAGGTAAACTAACTCCCTCAGCCTGGTTCTGAGTCCCAGGGCCAGGCTGACCTCTGGTTACTGCTGGAGCATGGGAATGGTGTCCCAGAGCATCCTGGTGCTTGGCCCACCCGGGGATGTGCAGGGCAAGGGGAAGACAGAGAGGGGCTGTTGGTGGTTGGCTGCACTTGGCCACTGATGTGGCACCTCCCAAGCTGTGTCCCAGCCCCTCTCCATCACTGCCTGTCTGGAGGCATCTCACAGAGCCCAGGCCAGGGAAGACCACGCGACAGAGGGAAACCTTGGCCTGTGCCAAACACCTGCATATGATTGTCAGCTTTTTGCCAGGCTCCCATTCCAGGAGAGACCTCTTCTGAAGGTCCAGTGCCTGCCAGCTGCTGTCCCCATCACTTCTAGGCCCTTGTGTGTCCTTCCCCACTGCCTTGTCCCATGAGAGCCAACACCAGGGGAAGCAGCATCACCCCTGCAGGTGGGTTGGATCCAGCGGTGGATCCAGGGCAGCAGTGAGATCACTTGGCCTGGCCACGCACATCCTGGCCATCCTTCTGTGGAGAGCAGCTGGAAGGAACACCGTCCCTGGCTCTTGAGGAACAGGACTCCAGTGCTGGGCACAGAGTGGTTCTTGCTGAAGAAGGACCCTCACCCTTGGGAGTGTCTTGCAGGCAGCAGAGGAATGCTCAGGATGGTGGTGTCACAGCTGAGATGAGCTGCAGGACACCATGGGACCATCCCCTCCATATGCCACTTCCTCTCAAGCTGGGAGGGAGAAGCTGGAGATGACCCCACAGTATCACTGCTCCCTCCTCACACTCACTGACCACTGCCCAGCTTTCCAGAGCAGCCCCACTGCCTCTCTGGAATATCATCTCACAGTACTGTGTCCCACTGCCTACTGCTCCCACAGCTCTGTCCCAGTGCTCAGTTCACCTCTACAGCCCCGCTGCTGGGGTCACCCCCTGCATTCCCTGCTCTTTGCCCCCTGCCCAGCTCATCCTCCTCATGGCCCAGCTCACCCAAACCTGTGTTCACATCACCCTCTTCACCCCTGAAGCAGCCCCACCACCTGCCTCACTCCAACCCCACTGCCCTCCATGCCCATCCCACTGGCAGCCCTGTCTCTGCCCCTCCTTGCCCTAAATTGTTGCCCATTCCCACCTCACTGGCTGTGCTGGTGCCAACTGCCCATGGTACTGCTGGAGGGGTTGGACACAGTGCCGTGCCCACGCTGTGCCGCTGTGCAGGGCTGCCCACAGTGCCTGCACCCTGGGGCACACGGCTGGGATGGCCCTGCTCTGGGCTGGGCTGTTCCTCCGCGGCTGTGTGTGCTCAGCCTGGCCCTGCCGTGCCCCTCCCTGAGGCCTGTGTGCTCACCTGGCACCCTGAAGTGGGACAGGCCATGGGAAAGGTAGAGCTCCTCCCTGGGGATCCCCAGGAGGGAGCTGAGGTGAATTGGGCTGTGATCAGAAGAACTTTCTGGTGCTTTTTGTGTTGGCAGCGTGTGCCCCTCCCCAGGCATTCGTACCTGTCCAGAGGGCTGAGTGAGGAGTGGTGGTTGCTGCAGACCCTGCTGGGCTGGTGGCCTGGTGGGGAGGCACGAGCTCTATCTGCATACCCCAACTGCAGGCCCTGCTTTAGCTTTCTGACAAAAGGTTTCCCGGGATAATTGCTCTCCTCCAAGCCAGTGGTGAAAATCCCTCACGCACTGCTGGGAGCCACAATGGCTTGGCAAGATGCTGGAAAGCCCTGCAACCCTGCAGAGGTTCCCAGGGGTGTAGGAACTGTGCCAGGGCTCTCCCAGGAGCTGAGGGATCCATGCTGGTGCTTCCCTGCTGTGTACAGAGCTGTGCCAGGGCTCCATGGGGCACAAGCAGCTGTGCCAGGACACCTCCTGAGGGGAGAGGCAGCTGGGTTTGGGCTCCTTTAGGGCAGAAGCAGCTCTGCCAATGCTTCCCCAGGGACGAGGGAGCTTTGCCAGGACCCCTCCAGGGGCAGAGGGAGCTGGGTCAGTGCTCAACCAGGGGCAGAGAGAGCCGTACCAGGGCTCCCCAGGGCAGAAGGTACTATGCCAGGCCTCCCCAGGGCAGAAGGAGCTGTGCCAGGGCTCCACGGGGCAGAGGATGATCTGCCAGGAGTCTCCCAGGACACAGGGAGCTCTGCCAACACTCACCTATCGGCAGAGAGAGCTGTGCTGGGGTCCCCTGGGGAAGAGTGGAGCTGTGCCAGGGCTTCCCTAGGGCAGCAGGAGCTGTGCTAGGGCTCCATGGGGCATGGGAGCTGTGCTGTGGCCCCCCCAGGGCAACTGGGTGCTGAGGCAAGGCTCCCCAAGACATACCCTGCAAAGAACCCTGCAGTGCCATCAGCTTCCAACCCATCCATCTGGGAAACTCTCTTCCTTTCCAGGCAGTGCCATGTGCTGCGACGGCCCCTGGGTGCCCAGCCCCAGTTCCAGCAGTCCCGGGCTGACAGGCCAGGCCTGCAGTGGGCTGTGTGTGCCCAAGGGGGGCTGGGTTCACTCTCACACTCACCGGTGCTGTGCGGAGGCAGGAGCTGCCGGTCGGGGACCCGCTGTGCCCGTCCGCGGGCACGGGGGACACCGGGAGCAGGTAGTGGCTGTTGGGGGACGGCGGGAGGCTGATGTGCTGGGGGCTCTTGGCAGCCCCGAGGGGAGAGTGCTGGGGGGAGCACTGTGGGCTCAGGAATGTCGAGGAGGTGATGGTGCTTTGCCCTGCAGGCTCCAAGCAGTGGCTGTTTACAATGTGGGGCACCTGCGGCACCACACGGTTACTGAGCTTGTCCGAGCTGCCTGCCTGGCCTTTCGAGGTCTTTTGTTTGGATGCAAATGGACAGCTGGACACAGCGTTTTCTTGCTTGATGGGGACACCAAAGAAATGCTGAGCAGTCTGCTGCTTCTCCTCAAGGCCATTGCTTCTCTTTCGCTTCTGGAGCTGCATCCGCAGCTCTTCCACCTGCCTCTGCTCTTGCTGTAGCTTCCACGTCAGTTCATTTATGACCTTCTGCTTCTCCACCAGCATCTTGTCTTTCTCTGTGTCAATTCCTTCCAGTTCCAGCTGGATGCTCCCTCCGTTCATGCTGCTCATGAGGCTTTCTTCAGCACTGCCATGAACTGGAGATGGCTGGAGACCGAACTGCGGGGAAGACATGGGCCCATCATTGAAAGTGTCTGGCAAAGAGCCGCTCACAGAGAGATCAGAGGAGGCGGGTGAGATGGGTGGGGTGGAGCTGGTGCTGCCAAAGTGGTAGAAGCCATTTGATAACATGCTGGTGGAGGACTGCGACTGGTAACTCGACAGCGTGCTTGTTGGAGTGACTGGGAAGGTGACGGTGGTGATCTCACTGAAGTTTGGCACCGCGTTGCTGCCGCACTCCTGGAAGGGCCGCAGACGCTCCATCAGTGCTGTCTTGGTACCTGACACAGGCAGACCTCGTATTCGGAGCTGCTGCCTCAGCTCTGACACCTAGAAGGAAAGTCACTCCTGATCAGTCTCAGTGGCAGATGAGCCCTTTAGAAACCCAACACTTCTAACAAGAAGGCTCAGATCACAGGCTTGCAGCTCCCAGTGTTAAAGCTCTGCCCTCCCAGGTGCTTCACTGTCTCACCAGTCACCCTGTGCAGGCCTGACCACCGCACATCCTGCAGAACCTCCACCTTTCCTAACAGGAAAACCTTCCTTCTTCCTCCGGGAACTGTGACTACTCTCCGGGAACCAGCAGTGGCCCTTGGGCCATGGAGGCAACTCAAGATTCCCTTCCTAGCAGATTTCTCCATGATCAGGGGACTTTCACACAGACCAGAAGCCAGCTGACAGCTCAGAGAATCTGATCATACAGCTTGGAGCCACATGCTCCATGTTCAGGCATCTGCACAGGATACAGTCACCTGAGCTGTGGCATTGCTGTGGGCAAACTCATGTTATTTCTACCTCTAACAATGAATGTTGCCCCCAGGTCTCTGCTCCTAGAAGGATTTGACCTTCCCCATGGCTGAGGGTCCATTAGCAAAGTATAAAAAAACTGCTGATGTGTTTCTCCCTTGTGCCCTGTCTTGCTACATGAGAGATGTTCAAAGCAGTGCATGTAGCAGGAGATACCTGCTCTGCAGAGAGCTGAGCTGGCCTGGCTGCAGGGACCACTGAGTCACTAAGGGGAGGCCACGCTGACCTTCCAGCTGGTCTGTTAAGAGTACCCTGATGTTCACCATAAAACCACAGAAGGTATGGAGACAGGAGCTGCAGGAGCAGCAGCACAGATCATCCTTTAGTCCTTGCCCTTGGCCTCGCCTGCAGCCTCCCCAAGGCAGACCTAAGCTTTGCTGATACACACACTGGAGCAGTGCAGCCCTTCATGACCTGCAGAGCAGAAAGCCCTCATGTTGAGGTACCACCACGGTGCCCAAGCCCTGCCCCAGTGTGGTGTGCTGTACTCCTGGGCTGCTGAGAGTACAGTGGGTGGGGTGTGCTGACCTGTAACTTGCTCTCTCCCAGCCTGTGGCACTCCACTGCACGCTCAGGCTGTGAGATTCTGCTCCTGCTGTGACAAAGTTTGCACTCACTTTGAGATCATCCAGGTTGGATGGCAGAGGGCCTGGCTTGATAGATGAGACACAAGTCTGGCCTGAAAAGGTGGTTTTCACTGGAGAAAGAGGGGTGTTGTTGACAGAAGTTGATGAAGAATTTGAACTTTTGACCATTTGTTCATTCGATTGCCTGAAATAACAAAGGAGATTTGGGGTAACTTGTTGGTCCCCTCAGGGTCTCTGTGACCTGCATCCCATCCCTCTGCTCCTTTAGGAGCTGTCTCCTGTATGAGGCCTATGGATGGCCACCCAAAGGAAAAGCAGGCTGGGCTGTAGGAGGTTGCTGGTCTCCCACCAGCAGGTTGCAGATGCCCCGGCCAGTCCACAAAGCCAGAATGGACAGTCTGTGCTGTTCCCAAGCTTTTATGTTTCACTGGCATGCCTCTACCCCCTTGCATTGGCACAAATGGGTACTAGGCAGGGGAAAGTTTGGAGATAGGACTAAACCCTGCTGCTGTCACAGTGCCACTCACTTTAGCTGTCCTTGGTGCATCCCGGAGTAGCTGAAGTGCTGTTGCTGCTGCTGCTGCTGCTGCTGGCTGAGGATCTGGAGCTGCAGGAAGAGCTGCTGTTGTTGGAGCAGTCTGGCATACGCAGAATCCATGGGTGGAGGGGATTTCTCTGCCTTCTGGTCTGGAGGGATGTACTGGTGGTACTTGAGCTTCTTCACTTTGGGCTTCGTGTCCTTGGGCTTTTTGTGACGGTTCTTGCTATCAGTGGATGATTTGGACTGTTGGTCAAAAAGAAAAGGAATGAGCTGTGAAAAGAGCTCCTGCCACCCTCCATGGGACCTCAGAGGCCTGAGACAAAGCAAGGGCAGCTCCTGCTGGTACTCTGACACTCCAGCTCCAAGAGCTGCTGAACCTGGATGTGGGGGACTCCCTCAGGACTCTGTCCCTTCTCATTTCTGCTGGAGAGCACATGAGATGGAGAATGACCCTCCCTGCCTGGAAGGTATTCCAGTGCTCCTCACATTTCCTCCTGCTCTCAGCCCAGGGGATCTTTCCAGTGCAGGACTCAAGCAATTGCCTCTGGCAAAAGGAGTATTGCTGTACCTTGTACCACTACACAGTGAATCAAATTATAGTTTTGGCATAAGGTTTGTCTGCCTGCATTGTTCAAAGCCTTTTAGGCCAGACCCCCAGACCTCTCACACAGGTGGAGTGCAGCATGGGGACACTCCAGGCTGGGATGCAGCCAGAGGCACAGGCATTGATTACCTTCACTGCAGAGGGCACGGGGAGCGTGGGGCTGTCCTGCCCCCCCGTCTGCTTGGGGCTGTCACACTGGCTGCTCTGCCCCGAGGCTGTGTCCGGAGCGTGGCCATCGGCACTGGGGGGATGATCCTGCGAGGGACAGGTGAGAGGGGCTGTAGGGTTGGTGCCAGGGGCTGCCCAGCCTCGACAGGGGCACCTGCTACCCCGTTTCTTCACCCCATGTTGTCCCCAGTCCCCACAGATGCCTCAGTCCGTCCCAGTCCCCTCAGGTCTATCTCAGCCAACTATCCCCACATCCCCAGGCTATCCCAGTCCTTTCCTAGTCCTCTGTCTCCCCAGTTCTTCTTGGTTTCCAAGCCCCCTCCATTTCACCTGAGCCTGCCCAATGCTGGCCCCTCAGTGTCCTCCAGACTAGGCCAGTCCTCCCAGCTGACCTGGATGGCCACAGTCCCTCTGGTCCCGTCCCCCGCCCCCCAGTCTGCCCTGGTTCTTCCCAGCCCCCACAGTCCATCCCAGTCCCACAGTCTGCACTTGTCCACCCTGGTTCCCCATTCCCCCAGTCCTCTCCATTCCTTCCAGTCCTCCTCATTCCTTCAGTTCCCCCCCGGCCCCTCACATTCCCCCCATACCACCCCAGTCCCCCCATTCCCGCCAGTCCCTCGCCCCACCTTGGCCCCGGTGCCTGCAGTGCCCGCTCCGGCCGGCGGAGGGCGCGCCGGCCCCGCGCAGCCCGTGAGGCCCCGGGCGAGCGCCCGGACGGGACCCGGCCCGTCCCTCTCGTGCCCCCCGTTGTGCCCCCGGTCCGGGACCGCCCCCCTACCTGCGGTGTCCCGGCAGCGCCGGGGGGCGGCTCTGGGTCCCTGGAGGCAGCGGGCGGCTCTGCGGGCCCCGGGGAGCCGCGGCTGCGGGGCCGCTCCGGGGACAGCCCGTCCGTGCTGCTGTCCTCCTCCTCCTCGAAGGCGAAGGCGTCGGCCGGGCAGGGGAAGCTGCCCTGGGTGCCTGGGGGGGCGGAGGGGCGGCGGTCAGAGGCCGCGGGGACTGGGGGCACTGGGGAGGGGTGAGGGGCCTGGGTGAGCCTCGCGGTGCCCCCAGCCCCGGCCGTGGTGCCCGGGGGGCTCGGCCGCGGCTGGGGGAGAGCGGGGGGACACAGCGCCTGACCCGAGCCATGGACCCGTCACTTGGGGGTGGGAAGGGCAGGGGTCTGAGGAGCTGGGCCCATGGTCCATTTTCCTTGAGAGAGGAGAGGTCTGAGGAGCTGGAACCACGAACTGTGTCCCTTGGAAGAGAGAAGGGGTCAAAGGAGCTGGGACCATAGACCCTGTTCCGTGGGAGAAAGAGAGAGGAAGGCTCGGAGGAGTCAGGCCCACCAGCACAGGAGGGTTGGTACAGACAGGTGGGACTGGTGCAGGAGGGGCTCTGCCATCCTGCCCCACTGCTGGGCTAAGGCGGGAGATGGGTGTTAGGGTCCCCCGAGCACCCTGGCTGCACACCCACACACACGTGGGACCCCATCCTCATCAGAAGAACTGAAACTGAAATCAACCCGGAGCATGACCCATACCCTCACGGCACACGAGCCAACATGGGTGGACCTGGCTGCAGATGCACAGAGGCTCCCAGATCCTGCCTCTGTCCACAGGCTTCACCCACAGGACATGGTTCAAACCACTGCCTTTGCCTTTCTGACAGCTCTGGGCACTGCTGCTCCCGCTGCACAGCTGCTGCACGCTATCTGCTTGTCAGATGGGCAAGGCTCTTGACCCCTAGGTTTTGCTGATAAATAAAGTGCTGGGAAAAAAGAAGTCTCATGTGAGCCTCTGGAGGGCTGCAGGTGGGGGTAGAGGAAGGAGCAGCGTGGCCATGCTTGTAATCTCCTCGTGCTCATGTCTGGCATTTGTCAGGCAGCTTGGCACGCTGATAGCGAGGTGACAAATGGGGAAATAGGAAGGGCCTGGGGACAAGCTTCCACCTGTCCCTGGTGCTGGTCTAGCAATGTGCACCTTCTCACCGATACGGGCCTCCTGCTCTGACCCCTGCCCCTATCTGAGAGATAAGGGTTATCTCAGCTCCCTGTGGCTGCTGGTGCCAGGGTAGGCGCGAATGGAGCCTTGGCTCCCTGCCTGAGCTGCTGCCCAGCCACCATATGAGCTAGGGGTATGAGATCAGCCATGTCCAACCTGCTCTCTTCATATGTCCCTGAAAATAGGGCCTGTGCCCTCTCCATCAGAGGCAGCACTCAAACTGGGTATTCCCTGAGGAACTGCAGCACTGCACAGTCCACCCAGGCTGGGTGGGAGCTGCTTCTCATCCCTGCAGACAGCACGGGTATCCCTCTTGGGAAAAATTACTCCAAGCAAGGAGTAGTGAACTTGTGGATCTGCAAGGCTCCTGCTGGGCTGGCATTTAATAAGTGTGTGTTGAGAAGTGGTGCCAAAGCTGGGACCCCAAGGGACCTTCAGGACACAGCAACAGCCCAGAGCATGACAAGAATGCGCTGCATCCTGCTGCTTGATACCACAGGCCTGTGCCGATGGGGAATGCTTCCCTTATCTGTCCTGCTCTCACCCAGCCCGCCCTGGAGTGTATTGTTTCTCCATCCCATGTCCCTGCTGTAATCTCAGGCAGGATGGTGTTTGCTCTGGGCTGTTTCTAATGCACTGGGTATTGTCCTCTCCAGCACGTTGGACAAAGTGATGACAAGGACCTGGTAAAAAAGGGTTCTTGTATCACTGCTCAGCTATGCAGGGCACTGGCGGCCTCCTGTCACTGGGACGATTGGGCTTTCAGTTGGGGTCTGGCACTTTCTGCTCACCCTGCCGGAGGCGATTAGAGGAGCACGTCAGCTGAACTTTCCACTGTGTAAACAGTTGAGATTCCAAGGTTAAAGTAAAATGATTTTAAACCCTGTCATCTTTCTGGTATTGCAAAAACAAAAGGCTTAACATTCAGAAGTGCCAGTGCTCATCTCTGCTCTGTGTTCAGCCCTTCGCCCCAAACTGTGAGCACCACAAGCGCCCCTGACTCTGAAAACCAGCTTGAGGATCCTTCAGCCTGGGGCTTCTTCTGCAGAAACCTGAGGGCTGGGATGGTGCTCCTGGTGCAGCTGCATCACCTTCTTCACATGGCACCCAATGGTACCAAGTACCTTCTTGTTTGACCCTAATGTGCTGCACATTTCACCGTAAATTGGATGTAAGTGGCTTGCAGGACACATTTTCCCCCAGCAATGTGATTGAAGGGAGAAATTTAAAACTGAACAGATCATTTTTAAGCCAAACTTTTTGGGTTTAACAGTTTGGTCCCGTAAATCTCTGTTTACCATGAGCTCCTGACAAGGCAGCTGGGTAGAAGCTCTGTTCAAGCTTCAAGTTCACTTGCCCAGCCTCCAAACCTCAGCTCCAGGGGATAAAGTCATGCTCAAACTGCTTCAAATGTTTATAGAGGGGGGGATTTTTTGAAACTTTTTTTTTTCCACTGTTCTCTCCTTCGATAAGTGGCTGGGGAGATTTTACTTCAACTCTCCTTAAAAATTCCTCTTCAGGCAGAGTCCTGGAACATTTCAGCTTCAAAGAGGAGAGTTGTGACATGCTGGAAGGAGAGCAGCTCCAGGGCCAGGCTGGAGGAGCCGCTGTAGGGACAGAGCCTGCACTTCACAGCCCCAAAACCAAGAGCAGGAACAGTTGTGGGGCAGGACAGAGTAATATCTGGGCCTGGAATATTTAATGTCATTTATGATGGTTCTGAGATGAAATGAAAGTCAAAGTGTTTCCTGTTTCAACTCCTGTTTTTGGCATCACTCCTGTCACTCAAAGACCCCTCCTGTTCCAGAGTCCTGCCACTGTCCCCAGCTTGCTCTCAGCTCTCAGCTCCAGAACAGACACTTCACATGGGATTATGCCAATGAAAATGATCCCATGAATTGAGGAACCGGGAGCAACAGAACAAGTAGTTTCCAGGGGCAGAGCACCTCTCAGTGCCTCACTGAAGACCTGAGCACCAATTTGGACATGTAGAGATGGCCCCAGGCTTCAAAAATACAGGCTGGTGTCCTGTCACTGCAGGACCCTGCTGGTTTTCCTGCTCCTTTTCTCTCCTTTCAGACCTCCCTGTCCTGGCACTGGGCCCTGTGAAATTTGAGTCAACTTTTTGCTCTGTTTCTCCTCCCACACCAGCTTCCCTGTGGGGAAGTAATTGTGGAGGATTCTGCCTCTCTCCTGGGGGGGAGGTGATGGAGGAAAACCAGGCTTGGGCATAAGGCGAGTGCTGGGTACTGGTTGATAGGAGCGTCCCCTGCTTTGGGGTGTAGGCTGCTTCTCATATTCCCCAGAAGCCTAGTATCCCAGGGATGCTTCCACAATCCCCAGCAGCCAAACTCCCCAGGGATGCTTTCACACCCCCAAGATGCAGCATCCTGCTCTGTTAGGCCCTTCATACCACTAGTATCAGTGGTAAAAAAAAGAACCACGGCCTCACTGAACTTCACCCCCATGAACTAGGATGTAAGAGCTTGGCAGGGCACAAGTGGGAGAATCCAGACTGGCCTCACAACCACACCTCTGCACCCAACCACGGCGGAGAAAGGAACATTCTGTCTCCAACAGTAGCATTTCCACGCTCAAAGCCTTGTGGAGAGAAGAGGTGTAAGAAGGAAGGCTCTTTTGTGGGGACGTGGCTGAACAATTGTGCACATTTCAGTGTCACTGCTCTAACGTGAGAGCTCTCTGCTCACAGGCAGGATAAGACAGAGCAGGCTGTGCTGGACTGGGCTGCTTACTGTAAAAATAATGAAATTTAAGCAATAAATGCAGCTCCTAAGTCCAGGTCAGTCACTTCCTGCAGTCATTGTGGTACCTCCTCGTGCCCTCGCCAGCCCCTGCCCTGCTCCATGCGCACACGAAACACACATCTTTCCTTTCACTACCTTTTATGGCCTCTTTCACTGCAGAGTCAACGGAAATAATATTCTTCTCCACCAGCTCCAAAGGACCCGGCCTGAGAGCGATCTTTTCATTGAGGTCATCTGCCAGTCGGGCTCTTTTCAGCTTCATTTGAGTCGACTGAATGGACCCCTCTGCAGCCGAGTCTAAAAGGCCAAAGAAGGCATCAGGACCAGGGGAAACCTCAGCGAGTGCTTCCCTTCATCACAGCCCTGGGGGCTGTGGGCAAAACCTGAGTGTGGCTCAGGGCACAGCAGGAGCTGCTCTGCTGGACTGGATGGGGCTGGTGGGATCTGTGACATGGGTCCTCCTCTGAGCCTTAGGCCCAGCTTCTCCCTTCCGAAACAAGAGCCTCTGGCTACCAGCCTAGATTTGCAAACCCAGCCTACAGCTGGAGCATCCTCTGCAAGGACCAGGAGTGACCCGTGATTAACAAGCTGAGACTAATGAGGGCCAAAGTGGTCTCCAGCTCCTGCCTGCCAGGAGCACCTTGGCCCTTGTGGGCTAGTGCAGATGGATCCCTACTTCTGGGGAACAGCTGGAGAAAAGAACCATTAGCAGTGCCGGACAACTGGAGTAAATGGCTTACATTGGAATTAAAAATAGTGCATGCTGGGCTGTGGACTTTTGGAGGTGACATGACTACAGTGCTCCAGGCCTTCAGGGAAGAACGAGCTGGAGAGGAGCACAGCAGGTAGATCTGGAAGGTACAGCCCTACCAAAGCCAGCTGAGAAGACCCCAGTTACAGAGTGGTGACAGAAGAGCAGCAACTTCAACAGAAAATTTCCTGAACAAAGCTGATCTGGTTCCTATGGTGGCACAGGCATGAGTAGGGAGGGAGTGGGTTTCTAAAGTAGACCATTTCTATACCCTTGGGGGTCTAAAGTAGGAATGGCTGATTCTAGGTTGTGCTATCTTCAAAGACTGGGCACTACTCTGGAGGAGATACTGTCAGCAACACAAGCTAAAGGGCTTCATGCCATGGAAAATTCTCTGCAAGAGGCCAGGAGAGCTGGTCTAGGGCCACTTCTGGCCTCAGATTATATAGACCAGTGAACACAAATGAGCTCCTCGAGGTGAACAGTAACAGAAGATGTGTCTGTAAGGCACTTCGAGGATGCGAAGTGTCTCATCTGGCCAATTGCAATCCCCTCTAGGTCCTGTTGTGAACAAAATGTACATGTAGGTTCATGATACGCCAAGGCACCTCCATGGAACGCAGAGCACGATGGACAGAGGTGTGAGCAGAGCCTCCAGGTCAGGGGGTGTGGGGCAGCATGTGCAGCTTGCTGAGTACACAGCCAGGCTCTGCTCCCCTGTGCCCTGCCTGGCCCTGTCCATGCCCAGGGCTGAAGCTGCCTCCACATCTGGTTGACAGCTCTTGGCCACAACTCCTAGCCATATTACTTCTGTTATTTAAACCAAGGGAAAGACACTTTCACCTCTTAAGCAATGGTGCCAGCCCATTTTAGGGATGGAAACCCAAGGGGAAAGCAAGGCAGTGACACTGATCCAGCATGGGACCCTGGCTCCATCTTCCTGCCTGCCAGAGGAAGAAAGATTGCACCCATGCTGAGAGCAGAGGGCAGCATTTACAGCTGCCAGAGAGTGATCTGCTTCTTCCAGCCAACTGACAGGGCTCTAGGAGGGAGGGAGGGAGGCTGCACATCCTCTCTGTCTCTAAGTATCTTGTTATCTCTGGAGATAAGGAGGGACACCGTGGAGTTCTGCTGTCTGTGATGGGATGCAGCCTTGCCAGGTTTCTGGCTGAGAGGGAACACCATGATGGGAGAGGGGAGAGCTGCTGTGGCTCACAGACTGATAGCAGGGCTTTTCATACAGCTGTGCTTGGGTCACTGACTGCATGAGTTGTCCCACAGAATATCTGGAATTATGGCAGCACAAAAGATTCGCTTTGGGAGGGTGTTACAACAACCTGCTATAGGAGTTTCAGTGCCCTGGAGAACAAACGCTCTGGGTTTGCTTTTCATGATCAAACGTCAGCTCCTGTGGCTAACAGAGTTCTCTCTCACAGCTGTTCTATACCCACTGTTCTCTAGAGCATCTCATGCTGGCCCCTGGCAGAGTTGGGAGAAAGACTAGATGGCCTTGGGACTGCATTTGCCAGGGAATAAAAAAAAGTGTGTCCTGCTTCCTGAAGACCAGGTCTGGAGAGAATTCCATACAAACTGTGTCCTATTTAAGTCTGTCTCTTATGAGCAGCTGGGACAAAGTTAATCATGATGAGAGCCCTGAAGGAACACAGGTGGGGCAGGAAGGACACAAGTCCCAGGGCAGGAGACATGAGGAGTGTGTGGGAAGCTGGGGCAGTCTTACCTTGCAGAATGTGCATGTTGACCAGGTCTGAGCGCTCAGGCCTGCTTCTGATCTTGTGCTTGAGATAATCTTCAGTCTGCAGAACACAAATGCAGAGGATTACCTGGCTGGAGCATCAATAAGGTACTGAGAGCACCTGCCCCTGTGTCATCCCATGGCTCTTTTGGATTTATTACAAGCTGGGTTGAGTGAGGTCCTAAATGGCATTTTTCGTCACTCAGACACCAGCTTGTTCTCGGGCAGGAGTTCTTCAGAAAGGGAACACTGTGTATGGAGCTGCTGACTGATCACTGTACCCACTCCTGTGTCCTTTACAATCACCATTGAGCTTTAGATGCCTGAAGTATTGTGAAGGGAAGGGTGGGACCTATTCCCTGGGAACGGTGCAGATCCAGCACCTTTGAGAGCTGCACCAAGGCAGCTCTGGGGTGTCCTGTTAGCAGTGCCTTCTGTGGGAAGCCTGGCACTCTGGGGTGGAATATCAAGAGCAAGTAATGAAGATACTCAGACTTCCCCCCCAGGTCAGCCATGAGGTTTAACCTTCCTGCAGTTCCTATGCTCTGTGGTTCCTCACCCCAGCTGTGATATGAGGCTGGGAAAATCCACTTTGCAGATCACTGCAGCTGAGCTTGTAATGAACATGGTCCTGGGACCTTGTGCCACCTCCCTCATGGCTTTAGGAACACAGAGGCACACAGAGGTACAGTAACCATCCATTAGGGCCAAGGAAGTCAGCCTTGAGGGCACCTGACCTCAAAAATACAAATATAAGCTTATCCCCTGGTGAAGAAAAGCTAGAGCACAACTTAGACAAGATTAGCTCTTTGCTAAGCTGAGCTGCAAGAAGAAATAGTCCAAAATATGTTAATAGTTCAAAGAGGTTAAAATCTTAAGAATAAATATTAAAGAATAGTACAAGGAGCTGGAGCACAATTGGAAACCCACAGTATAAAATGTACAGGTTCATGAGAAAAAGATCTTACAAGCGCTTCTGCAGCCAGGATCAGGCAATGGAAAGTGCTGTCTATGTTCCATAAACAGGAGAAATAATTGTGCATGCTGCTGAGATGACCACAGGATTTAATGCCTTTTAAAACAAATCTCACTAAACAGATAAATGGCCATTTATCAATCAGGTGGCTAAGCCAAGAGCCTTCAGCAACAGAGAAGAAGCTCCAGCTATTAGGTTGGAGAACTGGTCAGAGTACTCAGAGGAGTTAAATGTCCCCAAGCAGTTTGGGATACACAGGGCTAGAGTAATAGCAATTATCTGTGGTTCTCCAGGAAACTGGGCAAAGGAGAGCATAATGTCTTGCTTTAGAAGAGTGGAGAGAAGAAACCAGGAAATTATAAAGCAGACAGCAAGATATTGGACCAAGTAATCAAACAATCTATATAAGTGGATTTTGAAGATAGCAAGGAGGTGAACAACAGCCAGGATGGATTTATGAAGAACAAACCACATCACATCAACCTAAATTCCTTCTATGGAGAGATGACAGTTTTCTGTTACAGGAATAAAAAATTAATGTAATGTAGCTTGACTTTAAACATGTTTTGACATTATCTTACATGGCTTTTTCATACGCAAGCCAGAGAAATTTGGTCTGGATAAGACTAACATAAAAAAGGAGCATAGCCGTGGATCACCAGAGGAATTGGGAATGGCTCACAGTCTAAACAGAAGAATATATCAAATCCTGTTAGCAGCAATTTTTCCTGCTAGTCAATATATTAATTAGTGCCTTGAATGACAGAAGACGTATTTCTTAACTCTGAATCATTCAAAGCTAACAGATTACAGTGCACCATGATTTAGAGCAATACATGATCTGAAATATATGTGATACAATTTCAGGGACACTTGGGAAGGACTGTGTTCAGGTGACAGTTAGCCACAGCTAAGCCAGTTGATTAAGCACTGTGGGGGATGAAGACAATGCACCAGAGATACTTCTGAGGTGGTCACTACCCTGGCAGAAATTAGTTACTCAATGCATAGAAAAACTATAAAAGGCTCTGGAGAATCTAGTGATCAGCAGCTGACCCACAACCCCAAACCAGGAGGGAAGACACAGCACAGGATGTCACCTGCCCAGTGCAGACACAGCAGCAGCAAGGCCCCGTTCTGTGCCCTAGATCTGAAAGGGTTCATGGACAAGGACTGGACAACAGCTACAGACATCATTGAGTCAGAGATGAGATCAGTGAGGAGGGGCTGAAGGGAGGGGAGGCTGGTCAGGCCAGAGGTGAGATTGCTGTAAGGACACAGGATGCAAAATAGCTTTTTTAAGTGCTACAAGAAAAAAGAGACACAGTTCTACATGTGCATGCATTTAGGAGAACCAGCAGCGTGCTCAAACTTCAGCTGAACAGCTTGAGCTGGGAATGAGAGGACACATCTCACAGCACAGGTCAGAGAACACCAGAGCAGCTGCTGGGGAGTGGGATGTCTGTGGGTGCTCACACATCAGTCAGGACTGACTGAGGTGGGGCTGTTCTGCTCTGGGGCAGAGGCACAAGAGCCCCTGCAGTCCCTCTCTGCCACCCTTGCTGGAGTGCTGGGTGAGTGCTCAAGCACTACTGAGCCAGGGCTCAGGAAAGCCAGCCTGCCTCAGCAAAGGCAGCCTGCTCTCAGTCCTCCAACCCAGCAATCTATTCTAGGACACCAACTTCAAAGTATGTTGTGCTGGCCTGATGACAGCCTCTAACATAGCCAGTGACATGTTTAAACAAATAATAGACATTTTATTTACTGAAGTCTTTCTAACGCCTTACCCTTCCCCCTGTATTTTTTCCCAGCTTACTTCCACCAATACAATCCCTTGCTTGGACCATGGGCAGATTTACCTGGTGCCTGTGCCAGGTTGGAGCGAGCTGGTGTCTGCACCCAGGTGCAATTAAAATCACCTAATGCATTTCCAGCTAATCCTCGGATCAGGTCCTGACTTCAGCTCAGCTCCAGTTGCTGGCCTACAGCTGTGGCTTTGCTCATGTTTCTGCTATGACTTCAATTCCTTTGGACCTTATCTGTTTATAAGCTGTCCTTGTGTCACTGGGGCACAAATGGTGGAGAAAGGCTTCAAATGTGGGCTTTTTAGCATCAGCTGAAGCAGAAGAGCTTGCAGAACATAGGAACAGTTCTTGTTATCTGCTTTCTGTTCACACAACATCAGCTGGGAGGAATATCAGCTAAACCACAAATGCCTTTGAGTAATTATCTGGAAGCAGTCATGGTCTTCCCTGTCTCAGGTCTAAGCAGGGCAACCTTGCAAGAGAACAATGTTTGTTATGGGCTGTGCTCAGTGTCTTCCTTAGGACGCTCTAAAAACGCCTGAGGTTTGGGATAGACTGGACCATCCTTTCCCATTCCCCAGGCAACTAGCCAGTGAAAGCTTTGGAAGAGAAAGACAAAGAGACACAAATGTATACTTAAACTATAAAATATATGACACTTCAAGGATACTTTGGATTGCTTGAAATTTTGTAAGCATACTAATTTTTCAGAGTCATATTGTGTTTCTTATGCTTGCCATTTATTACCATGGGAGACTTGGGGCAAGTGATTTGGAGTGTGTTTAAGTTCAGAAGAGCACTACTCTGTATTTCACCATCATTCTTCCTTGCGAAGGCCCTTTCCCATGTGACTGCCAGCACGTTTTGTGGATTAATGGAACAAACTCTTGTGCTCAAGCAAAACCTGCATGACTGTGATTTCTGTGGTCATCCCTCCAGCTTGGTCATGGCACTTGGAAACCAGGGTGATTTCCCAAAAGGTGATCAACAGAGTTTCAATGCATTATGGAAATGGCTACTTATCTCTGCCTTCAGCAGTATTTAGGGAAGCCAGATAATGGGGTGGACGGGAGCCTGGCCATCTTCCCCCTTGGATGTTGTGTTCCAGTGGCCAAGCTGCCCTGCGGAGCTCAGAGCCAGGCTCCTGCCTGGGGACAAGTGTCAGCTCCCTGTGGATTTGCTCCAGGAGGCAGCTGCATTCCCTCTGCACAGAACTAGTTAGGATCCTTCAGGCCTGTTTGCTGCTGGCCCTGCTCTAACCTGGCTGACACAGGAGCGCAGAACAGCCAGCACAGGCTGTGGAGGGACAGCAGCAGTTCCACTGGTTGGACACTCACTGGAAGGTCTGCCAATGCCATGCTGAACTGTGCCCTGCCCACGGCCCCTTGCAAAACCCTGAGGCTGCTGTAAAACCCACAGCTCAGGGCACAGATGCCCCCTCTGCCCTCTTAACCCTTCCTTGCTCAGAGAAAGGCGCTCCAGAACATTTGTGAGCACACCCCATGTCTGGAAGCAGGGGAGATGGTCTGCCCCTCATCCTTGGCCACAGGGCCCGCATGGAGGATGCCAGAGGAGGGGATGGTGGTGGAAGGTGCTTTCAAACCCTGTGACTCATGCAAAGCAAGCCCACGTGTTCTCTCACAGGATGGCTGCAGGAGTTACCTTGGCTCGCTCCAGACTTTTTCGCTGCTCATGGAATGCAGATGGGCTTTTCAGTGCTGCAACAGGAAAGAAAGAGGAGCAGTCAGCACAGGAGCAGAAGCAAGCAGCTACCAGGATATTCAGCAACAGCATTTTAATGAGTGCTATAAAAATAGCAACATAAACTAGCTGTTGTCTTTATTGCACTGCCTAAAAATAACTTAGGAAAGCTCTGGGAAATCCCATGCTCTCAACCAGTCCATGGCAGGAGAGCAGGGGAGATGGAGAGCAGGGGGAGAGCAGAAGGCACGTGGGCAGGGAGGGGGTGCAGGCATTGAAACACAGTGCTCTGTGGGACACGTCAGAGAGCAAATATGACTTTTCTCTGGAATGTTCCCTGCAGGGCATGGAAGGCACCACAGCTCCAGAAGACAGATCTGGGAAAAGGAAACACCTGTGAGGGACCTCGCCTGAAAGTAAAACCTGCAGGTGACTTAGGCTTGAGGTCAACAGGAAAACTAAGACTGCCTCAGCTCTTGGGGTCCGTGGGCGCAGCCTCCAGCCATGGTTCTGCAGGGGAAGGCCCTGGAACTGTGGTCCTTTGTCCTTCTTCCATCACTGACTGTCCCTCCCCTTCTCACTGGACATTTGTCCTGTTCCCTGCCCAGAGGCAGCTGTGTGACATGGGACCTCCCTGGCCGAGCCACGGTACCAGGCAGCAGACCATCTCCTGACACCAAGGGGGATTAACTCAGAGGGGCTCCCAAAAAAAGGCCAATCATCCCTGGCTCTTGGACCAGTGAACACCAGTCCCACCAGTCTGTGCTGGAGTCATGGAGAATCTTGCACATTTCCTTGTTTACTGGGGTTTAGTAGAAATAGAGGCAGAATTTGCATGGTGAGGGGGTTAATACTTCTCACATCCTACAAAAATTCTTTTCTGGCTGTGTAAGCAGGCAAAACTCACTGTTCCCACTGGGACAAGGAAGGGGAAGGTGTCCTGACCCACAAAAACAGTCCGCTGCAACTCTTTGTTTGGCAACAGAAATTCTCTTTCCATCTTCTGAATGGGATGCAATAAAGACAGAAACTATTTTCACACAGGACATGTGATCCTCCATCAGTCTAGGGGAGGAGGAGGAGAAAACTGAGGAGAGACAGGAAAGGTTTGGAGGCCTCTGAACTGGCTTTTGGTAGGCAACACCCAGGCAACCCCTGGAACCTCCAGTGAATCACAGGAAAACACAGAAGGTACATTCCTACTCCTGACATTTGGAAAGCAGACGGACAGAAAAGTGTTGCTGTGTCATGCTCTGGTGAGCAGCCACAAGCACTGGTGAAAGCTGGTTTGATCAGAAGCAAGATCAAATAGTGCACAGGAGAAATGAAGTTAGCAAGAGAGATGACTTTCCCAGCCCTGCTCACTGTGCAGTACTGATGCTGGCACCATGCTACAGGCACTGACCAAGCACCGTGCTATTCCAGAGGAAAATGTTGCAGAGCTCAGTAATTTATCAAGATTTTTGGAGGAATTATCTGGATGCTGCAGCTTGTATTAGTGTGCAAAACAAATAAAGACATGGTACTGGTTGTTCAGGGGATGACATCTCCGCACGAAATGGCTGAGGGTCTGGAGGCAGAGCTGCTGCATGAGGGTTCTATAGCCCTGGGACTGTGGCTCTGAGGTTTCAGTGAGAGGATGAGGTGGTGGCTGTGTACAGCAGGAGGGTCTTCAAGAGCACCTATTTTTGCATTCCATCACAGTCAGGGGAACCTTGTCTTGAGGAATCCTTGGTCCTGCAATCTGCCTCCTCCTCCTTCTAGGCAGGTGAGCAGGATCTGGCCCAGGGCAGGTGTCTGGGCAGGTCTAGGGAGAGGGTTTATCCATGCGCAACCCTATAGCTGCCTTTCTGCAAGTGACCCTGCATGCTCTTGATTCAAAATGCTTTTGCTGGCTCTGCAGCAGTTTCACTGGGGCAATAAATCTGCATGTGCTGGTGCGAGAACTGGAAACTTCCTACTCAGTGAGGCTGAGGAATGGGACGGGCTCTGCTCTCGTCTGCACTGGTACGCATCAGGAGCATCTTGTGCAGAATCTGCTGTGCCATGTGCATGCTCCAAGTGGGCCCAAACCTGCCTCTCACCATGGAGACCAGCCATGCCCATCTTTACTTTTTCCAGAAGAGATTCTCTTTTCTCTTTCCAGAAGATTTTCAACCCCTGTGTGTTACAGCCATATGGGCTCATTTCTTGACCTCCTGCAATAGCTGTGAACTGAGATCCTGTCCTAGTGCACCTCCTGGAGCCAATCTCACCTGATGGTCCTCAGAGCCAACAGGGTGTGGGAAGATAAGGTTAACAAAGACTTGTTTTTCATGAGGAATGACTGCACGTGCCTAAGCCATGGGGAAGCTGGGGCTCCCATGTATTAAATGCTAACATCTGACACTTCCTCCTGAGGTCAAATGCAGCAGTAAAATTCTGCATGTTTGTTTTTATAATGGCAAAAGTGCCTTTTCTTCTATTACTTTCAGTGAGTGAACTATGCTCAAATTTCCCAAAATGGTCTTCTTGGACAGAAACCAGACTGTAAAATCTCAGCCTAGAAGCTGGGAGTGCAAAGAAACTGTAAGTAACAGGAAAATACATTTCAGTTGCCATCAGATAAATTTGGCTTAATAAGTGGTCTGCAATGTGTAAAGTTCGAGCTGTTGGGTGCCACGTGTGCCAGCTCAGCCCTGCAGAGCAGTGCCAGGTGTGCAAACCTCTCAGTAGGCACTGCTGCTCTGTGAGTGTCCAATGAGCTGTCCTGCACCTTGTCCATGTGTCCGCCCCTTTACAGAGTGGACTTTGCAATTTCGGAGATGTTAGACATATTTTTGGCCATGGACTGTATTCCTGGTTCTCGCAGTCCTCTAACAAATGTCACAGTATTTTGTTTAAAGCTTCAGCTCCTGGAGTCTTGGGATTAAAGTGCTTGCCCTTTTGTGGCAGGTAGCATAAAATCTGAATGTTTAAACAAATAAACATGTGAAAAATGGAAAGAACATGCATTTATCAGTCTTAAAGCCATTTATCATTTTGGCAGTCATGATTTTGTCATCCTGGTCAAGTTTTCTTAGTGCTTGATGCTGACAATAATATCCTGAGCAGGTGACTGTTGCTGGCTACCTTGGCACAATCGTTCAGGTGGGCAGGGTGCAGCAAGCAGTGCCAGAGCCATGCTCTTAGTGAGGTGTTGTTCTGCTGTTGAGGCAAGAGCTGCATCACAGTCTTCAAGGTCAACCAGAAGAGACAGAAGTGACACAGCGTTTGGAAAATTGTGATCTTAGCAGTGAACCCAAGGGGTCCTTGATGAGACAGAAAGGATCCTCTACCTGGGTCCCAGGTAACCACAGATATGCACGTGGAGCCTGAGCTAGGTCAGGATAGAGTATTCCACCGAGCAGGGCTGAGCTCCCAACATCCTTTCTCCAGTGGTGCTACAGGTTTCATGATGCACCTGCAGGTGCAGAAGGGATTGTTTTCATTCACTGACTTTTTGGGCCCCAGCAACTGACTTTCTGATGCTGCCTGACTGCAGGATAATGCTGTCCTGGAGCTTGTCCCTCAGGCTCGAGTGCCAGGTGAGCAGGGGTGAGTGAAGTCAGAGAGGGAACACATTTGTCACTGTGCCACAACCAGCCCAGGTGGGGTTTCACTGGCCTCAGGTGTACCCTGATAGCCCTGCCCTGTGGGGTCCTGGCTGGGCACAGACACGGATCTGGATATATCTCAATCCTCCAGGGATTGCCTTTCCGCTCTGGGGCCAAGGCAGTTGCCTGTGGCTGCCTCCCTCCACAGCCTCTGGAATGGGCCCTCTCTACCTCTTCCTTGTCCTGCTACAGAGGTTCCTGGCTTTTACAGAGGGACGGGAGATTCCCTGCCCTTGCCTACGTGAAGAGCTTTGTGAGTCTTCTGCTTGTCCTGCTACAGTGACCTCTGGGACAGGGAACTCTGCAGCTGAACTTTTGGATGGTGGAAGGTAAACATCTCTCCTGACTTCAGTTTGAGCAGGGGCATTACAGTCTGTGTGATAAATGCTGAGCACCTCTGTACAGCACCAGGGACCATCATATTTTTGCAGGGCAGGGAGCAAAGTTCCCCTGGGAGTACTTTGCTCTGAGCTCTGTGGGTCTGAGCAGGCAGCTGGTGCCACACAGTGTCCCAGCAGTGCCCAGGATGAGCAGAGCCCCTCTGAGCCAGGAGTGGGTGGAAAAGGCAGAAGATACTCACGTGGCATGATGCCTTGGTCTGCCAGCTGCTCACGGGTCCTTCTCTGCTGGAGCCGTAGCTGTAAAACTGTGAGAGAGAGAGTGTCAGGGAAAGGTGCAGGACTGTGCTGAGATGCCAATACAGAGCGTGGGGGGGGGGGTGTCTGTGTGTGGCACTGAGGTCTGGCCCTGATCCCTGCTGCTGCTGGACCAGCCTTGTGAACAGAGTGCTCCAAGCCAAGGGGTCTGCCAGGGAGGAGCTGAGAGCCCGCACCCACCCAAGTCCTCCCTTCTGCACCAGTGGGCAGGGCTGGGCTGCTCTGGCACGGGCACTACCTGGTGCCTGGGACAGGCTGAGCCCTGCCTGGCACCTGGAATAGTGGTCTCAGGTGACCCTGGCTTCAGCTCAAATAGTTGCTGAGCTCTGCACTCTGCAGCTGGGAGGTTCTCCCTCGTCCCATCACTGTGGGTTGAGTAGAGCTTTCCAACTCCACCACCCTTCTGAGGGCCTGGCAGCACATTTCCAACCCTGCAAGGGGGATGCAGATATGCTTACTGTACCAAGGGGATGCACATAATGTGGTGAGGAGCAAATAGTGCCATCTCTGTGAAGCCACTGCTCCAAGGACCTCAAATCTCCCATATAACTCCTGTTTAGGAGCAATGTGCTGACAGATGGGAATGACCCAGTGAGTGCCATGGCCTGAGCTACAGAGCATCAATTAGGCATCCAACAAAGAAGCACCTCTCAATATCTGCATTATGTAATCACAGCCCACCACACACCTGCTGCCTGCCTCATGCAAGGCTGCAAACCTCTGCACGGCCCAGGGCTGCACAGGTTAGTTCATCCCATCTCTCAGGGAGCCATGCCTGGACTTTGACTCCTACACCTTTGGTTTTGCAAATTTGTCTTCAAGAAGACACCTGTATCACAAGGTAGAACATAAAACTTACTTCCATTCTTTCCTGCTGGAAGCTCAGTACAGCTTGCCATGAGGACATACGCCTTCCAGCAGTCACAAAACAACTGCACACACATCCCCTGCCCACCAGCACAGCCCCAGACTGCCTCCCCTCAGCTGCCCGGAATGACCCAGCGTTGGAAGGAGAAGAAAGGCAAGAATAGCCTTTTTGTCCTTGGGAGCAACCTGCTGAGCTCTGCCAACAGCTCATGTCACCAACACAGCTTCCCTGGGACATGGGATGGAGCTCAATAATAATCCTTTCCAGAGCAGTGCCCAGAGCATGAGGCTCCCTGAGATGCCATTTCTTGTGACTTTTCCACGTCTTCTGTACAAACCATATCTCGCATTCAAAGCAAATGTTTAGTGAAAGCCTCGTGTGGGACAATGATCTCCTGTCAAATTCCAGCACTTCTTAGGACACCAAAGATAGATTCTTGTCGTGAGGAAAAAATGTAGCCTTCAGTATTTTGTAAAGTCTGTGTGTGTGCTGCTCTGCTTAGGCCAGGGTGAAGCTGGTGGCTCTAAGTCACTGGCAAACCTTGCTGCCAGGAGAGTCTGTAGCCCTCCATTGCCCCATGGAACCACCCCCAGTCAGTGCTGGTTCTGCCCATGGACACAGATCTAGACCCTCACACTCTGGTACCTACACTGGACCCTGTTATCTGCACCCCCTTTGCAGAAGCCAAACAGCTCAAGGGCCCTCAAAACCAAATAACACAGTCCATGCCTTGGGAATGCCCATCTTTCCTCCTGGACTGTAGAGGCAGTTAAAAGGTAACCAGCTTGTGGCAGGTATCTTACACGGGGTGAGCTGTACCTCAGTTTCTGTGTGCAGAACCTTCTCTGTGACTGCTTACAGCGCTGAAGAGCTGTGCAAGAACTTGGCCCTTTCCCAGAGGAAGAGATGGATCTTTATGGAATAGGTGAGCTAAGGGAGGTCAGAGACTGTCCAAGAATAAAAACAGATTTGTTGCTCACCCAAGAATGGTTCTCTGCTCTCCTGGTCCTGGTCCAGTGTCCTGGGCATTAGAGCCCCTTGTCTTCAACTGAGGCAATTTACACACAACATCACATCACCAACTGGGATCAGAGACAGCAAAGCCTTCTGGAGTCACATACACCACCCTGCCAAGGACACAGCAGCCTCCCCATCTAGCTGTAAAATATCCTGAGTGAGGATGCTCCATCACTTCCCTTCACAGCTCCCACGTGTGCCAAATTATTTGCACTGTCTCACTGCGACTTCCAACACGGCCAGACCAAGGGTTGTTCCACATCCACATTGGCAGGGGGATTCTAACAGTCAGATAACTGGCTATTCAAGGTCCACATTCCCTGCTGCTTCTGATTATTTTATAGCCCTTCCCAGCAAACAAATAATTTGCCAGTCTCAGGGAGCAGTCAGCTGTTAGCCAGGCCAGTGAGGATAAAGAGGAGATGGTACAAATTCCCTTGGAGCATATCTTGGAAGGTGACAATGATTTCCAGTGTAGTGGGTTTAAGATTCATCATCTGCCGTGATGCAAGAAGTTTTGAAAACATGCATGTTTCACTGCCATAGCTCTCCCTCTACTTGTCTGCAGGAGCAGCACTTGGGAACACAGATTTCCTAGATCCCATGGCCTTCCAGAGAGCTGGGCACAGTCCAGGGGATCCTATCCTGCTGCAGATGGCTCATGCTCCAGCTGACAGCCTCTCCTTTGCCTCCTGCACTGAGCACTGCAGATAGACCATCACAGAGGGGATCAGGGATTATTTAATGATAATTTTGTGCAAGGAGAAAAAGTCTCCAATTTGGTTTTCATGCTGACAGGCAAAAAGGCTGTGACCCAGCAATGCCACTCACTGCTCCGAGTGTGGGAGCTGAGCTCTTCCCTGGCAGGTCATGCAACCTCCCTGAGGCACAGACTTCATTGTGGACCATGCTGAGCTTACAAACTTCCTTAATTTTGGCCCAATCTTAAGCCACAGAGCAAGGAGGAAAAGTTTATCCAGCCTTGTTTGTTCAGGGCACACTGTCAAAAAATGTGAGGACAGGCGAGTGCAAGTGCTGGCCATTTCCAGGAGCAGCACAAGCTCGACTGTTGAAACAGTTATTTCAGCCACCAAATATTCACCCAAATCTGTATTTCCTTATGCATGGATACATAACTTGACTCCCATAAATATCTCTGTGAACTTCCAAAGCATGTTGCAAACCATCTGAAGAAATGTAGTGGACAGTGTCAGACAATAATGCTGAACATCCCTGCAGCAAGAGGGAAAGCAGCCTCTGAGGCAGTGTTGCAGCTTGGCAGATGCCAGCTCAGGGTTTGCACCTTTCCCTTACAACCAACAGTGCTTAAAAACAGGGTTAGAGGAGCCCCTGGCACCATACAAACCACCACCACTTAGCTGCTCCTTTCCTTAGAATCTGTTGAGGCTGTGTCTCACCAGCTGCATTTCTGTCCTCTTCCTTTGCTGGAGTCCTGAGCTCTGAGTGCCACCACTCTCGATGTACAGGAATTAATTTTTCATGAATATTATTACTTTTCAAGAGAATTGCTTTTGCTAACACTTTAGAAGAACATTTATGATACAAAGAGTGGTGGCTGGAGCACTGAAGAGACAATCTTGGCCCCACACCCCCAGCATCCTTGTTGCCTGACTGCACCAGTTTGAATGGCTGTACCAGCCAGGGGGCACCAAACACATTGGTCCTGTGGTACCAAGCTGTGCTGACACCACCAGCTGCCACCAGCTGAGAGAAAGCCTTTCTTTCAGCAACCCTGCTCCCTCCTGTGGTACCCCATGATGAGAAATCCTCCCTGGATGATGTGAGACATGTCGGACATATTCCAGTGATTTCGCTCGTGAACTTCTTCTGTTAGAAAACACTGCTCCTCCCTTCTATGCCAGCACCAAGTCCCTTAACTGAAAACAGTTTTCAGAAATGTCCTCTGCAGTGAGGCTGTATCATTGGTGCACACAAGACCTCCTGCTGTCAGTCACAGCTGCCTCTGGTGACCCAAGCTCTAAGCACTGCCCGTGACTTGCAGTGGTGAGTCATCTTCCTCTCTAGGACCTGAACTCAGAGGTTTAGGAAGCTAAGAGGACAGCTTCAGCCTTTCCTGGCCAAGTGATGCACAGAAAAGACATGTTCAAATCTTCTCTCCACCCCAGGAGTAGGCAGATCTGGCCATCTGCTTCAGTCTCTGAGGGTGCTTTGAGACCAGCGCTCAGCAGACAGTCAGGGTGGGCTGGGACTTTTATCACCTGCACCAGAGCATCTCCCACACTGGGGTATTGCCAGAGCACTCCTACCACCATCCTCTGCTTGGAGAATTTGCTTTAGCAGCACAGGGGGCTGAGCAGCACGAGAAGAGAGGGGAGTGCCCTCCTGGCAGGGTTCAGGACTAGGACAGGCAGGCAAAGCCATGGCTGACTTGACCTAGTGTTGGGGACAGTCTGTTTTCAAGAAGGAGGATGGATCAGAGCTGTCTCTTCCCACCAACACTTACGTAGTGGCCAGAGCAGGTTCTCTGGAAACTCTGAGGAGGCACAAGGCTGTCTCAGCATTCAGCTTGTTCTTGCAGCTGAGTCGCGCTGCCCAGGTGGGCAGATGCAGATCTATTGCTGCTTCTTGACTTCTGACCCAGAATCTGCCCCTTTCTCTGATGGACCCTCTGGCAGTGGGACTGACTGATGCACAGTCCCTACTGCTTCAGCTTTTTCCAGTTTTCTTACATAGTTTCAAGTGAAATTCCAATAATTCACAGAATCACAGAATTGTTTAGTTGGAAAAGACTTTTAAGATCATCCAGTCCAACCTTTAACTCAGCACTGTCAAGCCCACCACTAAACCATACCCCCAAGTACCACATCTATTTTTATTGCTGGTTTCCTCCCTGCCCAGGCTGCACCAGCACCTTTGCTCTGATTGGGAACCACGTTCACAATCAGTGCAATTGCTGTTCTCTCATCCGAAATGAGTCACTGCTGCTGCCAGAAGTCATAGTGGGGCAGTTACCTTCTGCTCCCTCCACTTTGTGCTGCACCAGCCAATGCCTCTGGGGACTGGCAGAGGCACCACCTTATGCCAGCTGGACCCAAGTGCACGACCGTGATGGGAGTCAGCAGT